GTCTGCTTCTGGGATCAATCTGCTATGTGCTTAGCAAAGTGCTCCAGGATTCAAATTATAACAATGGTTGATTTCTAAAGGTCTCCTTTTTCTAATATATGCACTCCATCAATATTTGACGCACCACAGTTCAGCATATGTGCAATTGAAATGGCATTCAAATTTTAACAATATGCTTGATTTCTAAAGGTCTCCTTTTTTTGATACACCCTGTACAGGGTGTATCAAAAAACCGCAACCTCGGAATTTCCCAAGAAATCGACATTGTTTTAAAGACAAAAGATTTTAGGCGCCTGGGAATTTAAAATAGCACAACTGTCAAAATTACTGCACACGCGAGTGCATAAAGCAAAATTTATGCATTTAGTTAATGCACAACAACAGTGATATGATCTATTAGCAATTCGATTTCAATTCCCAGGGGCCTAAAATCTTTTATGCTTAAGCATTGCAAAGTGATTTCTTAGGAAATTCCGAGGTTGCGTTTTTTTTGAGACCTCGGGAAAGCAGTGTGTTTTGTGGCCCCTCGACCGCCGGCGGTCTCGGGTCCACAAAACACACTGTTTCCCTCGGTCTCAGTAAATAAGTGATAACTGTAATCTGACTACTGACTACAGAGCAGGAATTTTTTCCTGTGCCTACATGCGGATATTAGTTCGTTTCTTGAGTTCAATGAGTTTAATTTGGGATAGTAAATTATAATGAACTTTTCGTGCAGGCATAATTTACAACGTTTTGTTTTGTATGAGTAGGCCTTGCATTTCTTTAAAATCTTCCAGCAAATAGAGTATTTTATGTTGGACTGTTTCAACTGCCAAATATATAAACTCAGTTCAGTTGAATGTTTATGTTCCGGGTTCCTGAGCGAGATTGTATGGTTGTAGTATCTCACTTTAAATGGGCCCGCTGTGTATCCAACGTAGGTTTCTTTCTGTTGGTTGTCTCCTCTCGTTACTGTGGCCTGGTACACAACGCTTTCGGTTAAACACTTGCCAGGGATGGGGCAGGATTCTTCCTAACGCCAATTACACTTCCTATCGGGATTTTTAGTAGCCTTGGGCTGCTTGCAATTGAGTACGGTTCTGTTGTGCGCCGTGATGATATTGTGCACGTTGGGCATACAGCTGTAGCTTAACTTAAGGTTGTTCCTATTGAATAGTTTATGTAAAGGATGGTTTGCATGGTGGGAAGCATTCATCGATAGCCTGCAGAAATTTGTGACCAATGTCGGTGGAAACGTTGGCGCTGTAGGGAGGTTTGATATATGTTTGATAGCCTCTTGTTAATAGCAACTGGTATGCTGCGTAGTATTGGAGGCGGGTGGTTGCTGTTGTGGTTGACATATAGCGGTGTATTTCCAGGTTTCATATGTCTAGATAGTTAACGAATTTTTGTTGTACTTTAATAATTTTGTTTGTGGAAGCACCACGTAAATTTATTACTGCAAAGCTTTCGATCCGTAAGCCCGGATCTTCATCAGTGCTAATAATATATCATGTGACTTGTTTAATTACTTGACTTGTTGATGAAGATCCGGGCTTACGGATCGAAAGCTTTGCAGTAATAAATTTACGTGGTGTTTCCACAAACAAAACTATTATATTTTATCACCATGCAAACATACAAAGAACTTATTAAGTTGTACTTTGTTGAAGAGCAGCGATTGCTTTGCTTTGATGATGATATGGCTTTCTCATTTTCGGTTATTTCGTCGTATTGTGAGGCTGCCTCGTCCCCAGTCGCTTGCTATCAAATAATTAATTAGGAAAAACGAAAATTAATGGGGGCGCGCGGAAAGATGGGAAGGGGAGGAGGTTCCTTTGCGCGCTCGTCCTTAGTTGCGGGCGTGCGCCTAAAGGCGTGCGTCTTTATCGGGCTTGCAGTGCACGCGCTGATCTATATATTACTGATATTTAAATTTGATCTATATAGTGGAGCCTGCGGAGGAGGCAGCTGAGTCAGTATTTTTCCATTGCCCATTGGTTTATGTTGGTAGATTTGACAATTTTGGAATTGATCCTTTGGAGGACTTGTTTGCTGACAATCCCGATTTCAGATTTCGATGGATTTATAAGTCTCCAAGTAGGGTTGTTGGAAAAATTTAGTTTATGATATTTCAGGGTGATGAATGAGTCCTTTGTTGCTAGTGAGTCAACGCGGTTGTCGATGCCAAGGTCAACGCGGTTGTCGATGCCAAAGTCAACGCGGTTGTCGATGCCAATATATATTTACTCAACTGAACTGAGTAAATATATTTGGCAGTTGAAACAGTCCAACATAAAATAGTCTATTCGCTGGAAGATTTTAAAGAAATGTAAGGCCTATTCAAACAAAACAAAGCGATAGTAAATGAGCTTAATTTGGGATAGTAAAGTATAATGAACTTTTCGTTGGGACAGTAAATTATAATGATATAATTTACTATCCCAACGAAAAGTTCATTATAATTTACTATCCCAAATTAAGCTTATTGAACTCAACATAGTCTTTCAAAACATGGTTTGGAAACTCCGCTGAAGTCTTTGTTCAATCTTTTTGTTCGCGTTTATGCAGTTTTGTGCAAAGTGCACGGTCAATGAACACATTGTATTTCAGTATAATGAACGAATCATCCAATAGCAACGTTTCAGTTCAGTCATTCAACCATGCTATTTAAATATTAATAAACCTAAAACAAAGGATGTGCACGGTGTAAGGTACAGCTCAACATAATATCCCAGCTCATTATAGCGGCCGCTTTGAAGTTTACTATGAACTCAAGAAACGAACTAATATCCGCATGTGGGCACAGGAAAAAATTCCTGCTCTGTAGTCAGTAGTCAGATTACAGACATAGTATATTTACGCTTTCCTAATGACGTCTTAAATATAAGATTAAATATATATATATATATATATATATATATATATATATATATATATATATATATATATATATATATATATATATATTAAGATGAAAATGTTCTAGAGTGTGTATTATATAATTTCCATACCCAGCACAAGCAGAAAGATTTTGTCTGCCGCGGCTGGGTCTTGAACCCGCGACCTTCGGATTACTAGATCGACGCTCTACCAACTGAGCTACACGGTCAGACGGATTTAAGACTGGAAATTATGAAATAATTTCATAATTTCTGCTTGCGCTGGGTATGGAAAATGCTTTATCAATGGATGTTCTCAAAGAAAGATATGTAAAGAAATGTGGAAAAGACATTTCTGGATCAGAATTGTACACGTTAGTAGTTTTATTTTGTTCAAAACACAACATTTTTTCAAAAATAATTACAAGGTAGGTTTACTAAAGCAAAATCCGCGCTAAAAACGTCAATAAATATCGGGCTGTTGTGAGTTTGCTGTTACTCGTAATGAGCGTCAAGATGGTGCCATATTGGGGGTAAATGTGGTATATTGCGATTGTCATATCTTCTTAATTAACGAGTTCGGTGACCCCGACTTTTTTGTGTGATTTTACTTTAAGTATATCATAAACTCCATGCCTGGGGACTTTCAGCACATTCTCATTTCGGGAACAATTACTGCGGAATTACCTTAAGAATAAGTTTGTGATTGGGCTTAAATGATGAACGAGAAACAATTTTGTGCAGGAAACATAGGGGATACAACCGTCATGTGCCGCGGGCCTGCCATGCTACCAATGATGAAACGTAGAAATGAGGTCATTGGGTCAAAAGTAAACTTCCCTTTAGAGAATTGTCTAGAAGTACGAACTTTTATTCAGTTCATGTGTCAAAAAGGCAGCACTTTCCTTGCGATAGTAACTCCTAGTTATGGATTTGCACTATGGGTCTCCCGAAAACATCCATGCAATTTGCTTGCGGTTTACGACTTGTATTCTTGCCTATTGCACCATAGCACGTATGTCGTCATTTTCAGGTCAGTGTGAACGCCTGAGCACGCCGGCGTCTTGTTACACTGACCTGAAAGGTCAAGTGTCTTAAATCCCTAGTTTTCTGGGGTTTTTTCGTCGTCGAGAAATCGAGTTTGCGTTCGCGCATCGCAGGCTCAGGGTGCAACGATTAATCCAAAATGACATCGATTCTTCGACTACACGATTCATATATAATAGTAAGAAGCTTGTATTTATGTACGTAATAGCCGGCTCATGCCATGCTTGTGGTGCATTTTTCGTTTATTAGCCCATATATATATAGACTTATATGGACTTATACGCACGCGCACAATTCCGAACTCCAATGGTGACATATTCAGTCCAGTTTCAAAATGGCGTCTTTTGGCTGAGTGATCAGAATATATTTCACATAGTTTCGTTGAATTTTCAAAGAGTTGTGCCGGTTTCCTATGGATTTTACGTTGTGTCGCACTCTGAACTTTCTTGCGTGTTGAATTAATATGTTTTTCTTCGTGTAACGACTTGAAAACCCCAAAATTTGGACCCAGCGAATTTTACAAAGGACAAGTTAAGAGGGCCTCTCAGTAAAATCCACCCACTGGTTTGGGGAAGGAAAAATAGATTTAGCTCATATTTTGCATATGAACTAGACTTTGGTCAATATTAATCGAGCTTCTTTCAGAACGTTTCAACTTTCTGTTTTATAGGAGTTATAGCCCATGTTGAAATTTGACCTTGCGAGAGTATTTTCAGACCGGAAATGAACGGGAATTTTACAAGAATTCATCTGATTTTTTAAAATCGTTGTGATGCGCTTATCCTCTCCAGTTACTGTTCACGTGCAAGACTAACACTAATACTTTCGTTTTCATGGAGATTGAACAACTTTATTTGCTTAATGCGATTTTTTTTATACTGTTTTACGAAACTATGTTTTCAAGATGGCGATGAGAGGCTGAAAATTGCTCATATTTTACTTAAAATAGCTCAAAAGTGGCACCTATCTGAAGTTCAAAAGGCATGTAATTTGAAAGTATACCTACTAAAGTTAAGTAATCAGGAATAAAAATCGTCTGCAAGCAATTTTCTGAAAAGTTATAAATCTCCAAATTGGGTCTATTTTTAGCTGTTTGTTTACATTCGCGTGTTCGCTGATCAGCGACACTAATAATTTAAGAGTTACAATAAGCTGTTATATACAATTTTGTGAAAATATAATTACAATATATACAAGCGATCGTGTACAGAACATTCCCGAATTCGAATTGCTTTACATTTACACTTGACTTCCACTTGCACTAATTACACTTACACACACAATAGTACAGTTACAACGATTCTGGTGGTGTCTACGACCCTGATATATCTTCTAATGTTATTAAATATATATTGGTAATATAATAAGAACTTCGTCAAAAACATTGACACAATACCATAATCTCCTGATTATGACTTTGATCTGCCGCTCCCACGGCGGGAGGTGCATGTCTGAACGACCAATGTGAGTAGAAAACTTACATAAGTATCTCTGTGTGATGTTTAGGTCATGAAATAGTGCTACAGGTAATATGGTTTAATGCACTTTGCAGAAACTCGCCTGATTTTGATCTCGCTCAATATGATAATCAGAATCCTGTTTAGCCGAAGGGTTGCTATTTTTATAAAAATGCGTGTACTGACCCAAGTCTCGCCGGATTAGACAAATTTGGATAACGTTTGTTTATACCCAATTCACAACTTTATATAACACACATGCCTAGTTACTGTTGTTCTAGATTACAAAAGCATAAAATAAAATGGCAACCGGTCCGCAATGAAACATTTTTTGGCCGGTCAATAATAAAATGGGTGCAATATGCATGCGTGTCAACTGCGAAGTTCCAAAATTCATTTTTTAAACTTTTTATTTACGGCGTTCCATTTATCCAGTTTTGGTTTCAAATTAAGTTCACTCCAATAACCGGTGATTTAATTATTCATACTTCGACACTTATATACTATATAACAAAACACTTATTTACTGAGACCTCAGGAAAGCAGTGTGTTTTGTGGCCCCTCGACTGCCGTTGTTGCTCTCGGTCCACAAAACACACTGTTTACCTTGGTCTCAGTAAATAAGTAATAATACATAAGTTTAATGTTTAGTTACTTTTGTTCTATTCAGTCTATGCTTCTGTAAAATAGAATAATAGTAACTAGGCATGTGAGTTATCCAAAGCTGTGAATTGGGTAGCAACGATGTAAACAACGTTAGCCAAATTTGGGTTATCATTCCATGTTTCGCACACCAATATAGGTTAGGGGTTAGGGGTTAGGTATTAGGGTTAGGGGTTAGGTTAGGGGTTAGGTTTAAGGTTGGGGTTAGGGTTAGGGTGTGTTTTATGTGTATGGAGGTATCTAGTGAACTTTTCAGAACACTATAATATCCATTACATAACGTTTACTATATTGGTGCGCGAATTACCCAAATTTGTCTATTGGCTTCATTTTTTATTGAGTCTATCCACTGATCTCATATCGACAGGATAGACCCAATTGAAAATGATCTATCATATAATCCAGGGTAGGATTAAAGTGCCCTGCTCTGGCAAGTATAAGTTCACTCTCGTTGATGGTAAGCCTCGTGAGGTGACAACTTCTGAGGTGATTACAAATGTCTTCATTACACTCACCAATTTGTACAACTTTCTGTATTCCCCGGCTTTCCCTGCATGCAAAAATCCCCTGTCCAGAAAAAGGGACGAAACTTGGGGGGGGGGGGGACACCCCCAAAGTACAAATCATCTGGATTGGCAGGGCAATGAAAGATTTTAAATGATAGAATGTAGAGTTATTAAGTAGCTTCCACTGCTTCCAGAGGGAATTGAATAGAATTTATAGACCTAAATTTTACAGATATTGGTAAAAAATATGGGTTTCATGCATGTTTTAACAGGGATTTGTCCGAAAAAATTGAATGTCCGGCAAATTCGACCCCCCCCCCCGCTGCAGGGCATTTTTGCTGCTGGGCATCATCGGCTTTCGCAGAGCAATTCTAGCAGACACCCCCCCCCCCCAAATTAAAAGGGGCTAGTTTCGCCCCTGCCAGCAAAGCAACAGTTCTTTTCCATGACTCAAGCATGCACAAAGTAAAAATAGGAGCTGCTATCAAAAATAACTGGCAAGCTAGTGTTGCAGTTCTACTTGTGAGAATGTAGATTTCAAAGTCAAAATACTAGAACTTTCCCACTTCCGCTTTTGTGGTTTGTTGTCTCTTACTGAATTTCTGTTATTGAAGCGGTTAACAAATTATAGGGAAATATGATGACACAAGTTAAATTTCGAAACCTTTATGTGTTCATATGCAGTGAATCAAACGAATAATGCATCCTTTGTTACAATTATTCAAATTATTACAAAAATCAAAGAAAACTAAATTTTATCGCCATATTTCTCCATAATTCGGCAACCGCTACGTACAATATTAACTACAAAACAAAATAGTAAATGACAACAGACTACAAAAGCGGAAGTGGAAGTGCGAAGGTTGTAGTATTTTGACTGCAATTATGTACAAAAATATGTTGCATCCATACAGCAAGAATTAATGTCCGACCTTTCTATGCCGTTCCAAACGTGACAAAATATCAAGTCTACATATTTACATCAAGTTGTTTGTTGAATACATCAAGTTGTTTGTTGAATACAACAAGTTGCTTGTTGAATACATCAAGTTGCTTGTTGAATACATCAAGTTGCTTTGTTCAATACATCAAGTTGCTTTGTTGAATACATCAAGTTGCTTTGTTGAATACATATGCCGTTCCAAACGCGACAAAATATCAAGTATTCAAGTTTACATATTTACATCAAGTTTTGTTTGTTGAATACATCAAGTTGCGTGTGTCTTACATCAAGTATATCAGAGTAAAATAATTCAAGTTGGCATTGTTGATATTTATACATCAAGAAGGGAGAGGACCGATTTTGATCAGGTCGAAATTTCAACTCATTATTATTCAACAATAAACTGGAGGGGGGAAGGGTGTTGAAAAATCTCTGACAAATATTTCACGGGGGGTGAAAGAAATAATTCAATAAACAAGACGCTTGCTAAGCGTTTACTCGAGCTAAAGATTTGCAAAATATCTGCGTATTCAGCGTATTCGCATCAAGATCCTGTCAAGATTTAATACATTTTACATTTTAGCTTACTCCTATAAATTGCATTATTTACAAGATAACCGACCGTGTTTCTTGTGGCGCAGTGGTTTAGGCGCCCGCTTGCGAGGCACGGCCCTATAATCTATGGCACGGCTCCCGGGTTCGAGTCCCGTATTAAGCAACAGTTTTATTTTCAAGTTAAAAAATTTTTTCAACTTCTTTTGAGTATGATTTTAAGCTTAGGTCTTAGGATTAGGAGTTAAGGTTTTGTGGGGTGGGTTTAATTTTTTTAAGAGAATATTTTAACACTTTTAATAGGACTAAGTTCCCTGACTGCTGGACACACTGCCCGACTGCCGCATGAAGATGTACAGCCGGTACGACCATATCCACACGACTATATAGTCGGTAAAGTATGCGGGTAAATGGCGACTGTCAGTCGCGCATCATGTACACTTCCAATCCAAACGCTAATCCTAACCCAAACCCTAACCCTAACCCTAACCCTAATCCTAACCCTAATCCTAACCCCTGACCCCTAACCCCACCTGCTAACCCCGCAACCTAACCGCAAACCCCAACCCCGGCCAGCTACCCCTCCGGGGAAACTATCCTCCCGCCTCCCCACTATCCACCAAGCAGGGGCAGTTACACTTATAACTAAAACTTCTGTGCAGTGGTTACGGTTTACTCAGCCATACGACGGTGCACATTTTCTTCGACTATCAGTCGCCACTTTTCCGCATACTTTAGCGACTATCTAGCCGCATAAAATGGTCGTACCGGGTGAGATGTAGAGTATTTCGATTCCGATGGAATGTGATGGATATTTTGAATATAAACTAGATGGAGCAGACAAAATATGCGTACAGTCGTTTAGCCGGTTTTGATCGCGTACACCGAATATGGGTACAGCCGTTTAAGTTTTGATCGAGTACGCTTTAATAGAAAGCGTAGGCCTACAGTCGTTTGCCCGTTTTAATACTTTTGATTGAGTATGCTTAAAAAGCGTACAGCCGTTTACTTTTGATCGACTACGCGTAGAAAGCATACATTGACAAATACTTGATCGAGTATTCGAGTACGCATATTAAAACCCACTATTATTATACTTTTTGTATAAACACAGGCGGTCCTCTCCCTTCTTGAAAATCGGTCCTCTCCCTTCTTGATGTATAAATATCAACAACGCCAACTTGAATTATTTTACTCTGATATACTTGATGTAAGACACACGCAACTTGATGTATTCAACAAACAAAACTTGATGTAAATATGTAAACTTGAATACTTGACGTTTGGAACGGCATATGTATTCAACAAAGCAACTTGATGTATTCAACAAAGCAACTTGATGTATTGAACAAAGCAACTTGATGTATTCAACAAGCAACTTGATGTATTCAACAAACAACTTGATGTATTCAACAAACAACTTGATGTAAATATGTAGACTTGATATTTTGTCACGTTTGGAACGGCATACCTTTCCAGCAAAATTTCCATTTACAGGGACAGAAAAAGATTACGAGACCAGTTGAATAGAAATGTTAAAGCACCGAACACTAACACAGAAAATACCGCCCGTTTATACTTTAAGAATATATTAACAGTTGTATGTGAAATTATTCATGCGAATAAGCCAAGAATGGTTAAGGTTGTATTTTGAATGTTTCTATGTTGTGAATTAGAACCTGGATAATAAACCAGCTTATTTAACTTTTTAACTATTACTAGTGTCGCTGATCAGCGAACACGCAAATGTAAACAAACAGCTAAAAATAGACCCAATTTGGAGATTTATAACTTTTCAGAAAATTGCTTGCAGACGAGTTTTATTCCTGATTACTTAACTTTAGTAGGTATATTTTCAAATTACATGCCTTTTGAACTTCAGATAGGTGCCACTTTTGAGCTATTTTAAGTAAAATATGAGCAATTTTCAGCCTCTCGTCGCCATCTTGAAAACATAGTTTCGTAAAACTATAAAAAAATCGTATTAAGCAAATAAAGTTGTTCAATCTCCATGAAAACGAGAGTATTAGTGCTAATCTTGCATGTGAACAGTAACTGGAGGGGATAACGCATCATAAAGTTTTTAAAAAATCAGATGAATTATTGTGAAATTCCCTTCATTTCCGGTCTGAAAATATTCTCGCTAGGTCAAATTTCAACATGGGCTATAACTCCTATAAAACAGAAAGTTGAAACGTTCTGAAACAAGCTCGATTAATATTGACCAAAGTCTAGTTCATATGCAAAATATGAGCTAAATCTATTTTTCCTTCCCCAAACCAGTGGGTGGATTTTACTGAGAGGCCCTCTTAATAGTTCAACCTGTAAACCACATATAAATCATAAGTCTTCTCTAGTGATAATCACTCCTCGTATTTTCAGTTCTAAAATGTTGTATTTCGGCCGATGAGAAAGATCGTAACTAAATTTTGATCAAGGCAAGAAGAACGAAATCCAACACCACAAGAGTACCACAGCTAGAAAGAGCGTCTTAGATTGAGTAAAACTGCAAATATTGATTGCTAAATGTTGTAAAATGAAGAAAATATAGCCCTGTGAAGTTCCCAGTTGTATTACTCGTGGTAAAAGTAACCACTTTCGGCTCAAAAATGCTTACTTCAGTTTCCCCGCGCGTTATGCAAATATATACAAAAATTGCGAACAGGCACAGAGCTATATTTTCCTCATTTTACAACAATACGCAACCAAACTTTGCAATTTTACTCATTTTAAGAATGATGCTCTTTCCAGTTATGATAACTGATGAATTTCGTTCTTCTTGTGAGATCAAAATTTTGTTAGAAAAAAATTAAGTTATATACTAATAGTTAAGTTATTTCGACTCTGTCATAACTTAAATCATAACTATACGCTCGGTGGGAACATCAACAGAATTACGTTTTATGTATTAAAGATTTCATTCCATTAATGAATTTCTGGTATGCGGAATGTGTACGATCAGTAAGAACGTAAACTTGTCAAGGAAAACTTGTTAACGGTAGACACCTCTGGGTAGACACGAGAAGGCAAACTTGTCAAAGATGGCATTGAGATAGAGTCTATGAAATGGCATTCTTCCGTGGGGGGTGGGGTGGGGGTGAATAGGGGTATACAAATCCTCCGATCCGCCCAACTTATTCGGAAGCAAGATCTGCCGATCCGACAATGGTCACAGTACAATGGTCTTGTCTAAATTTGGATCCACTAAAAGCTCTACTATCGCCGGAAGTCACGATGACAGAATCCGAATTAAACTTGACATGCGCAAGCTAAATCAAGAATCTGAGCAAAAATATTAGATAAATCCGCAATCTGCAGTAGGCTAATAAGATCCGCAAAGGCGTTTAAATTATTCGCCGGATCCAAAATCCGAACAACTTTTTCGATGAAATCCGACATCCGAAAACATATTCACCGGTCCATTTTGGGGAATATTTCAAAGTATTACCTCAGCGATTGAAACTGTTCCTAACCTCCCACCACCACTGTTGGTTCCAGGCATGACCGCTGTCAAGAATCAACTCGTCTGCATTTATTGTTTATTTGTTTGTTTATCAGCTTTATTGGACACAATCATAGCGCAAACGGGACAACGAGACCCATGCTAGGGGCAACCTCTAAACTAATATTAACTTGTAATAGAACCCCCCGCAAAAAAAACCCAACCTAATTTACTATACACTACTATATATTACATAATATGCAGATTAAGAACGGTGGCAGGGGCTGTCTCTTGTGAGCGACCAAGTTCATGCCATATCAACATAATTAAAAGTACTGTTGACCAAAGCGGTGTATGTCACATGCAGAAAGCTTTTAAAAATATTTAAAGTTTGTTCGTTCACTGCAAGTATATCAATCATGTTTCGCTCGCTACTCTGGTTTAATTAAATGATTACAAAACCCAGTCGAATTGTAATCAAGACCCAACCTTTCGACACTCCAGTCGACTAGTGTCTTCATCAGGGGTGAACTAAAACTGCAATCGTGGCTTCTTAAATACCCAAGGGCCTAGGGATGACCTCACCTGCCAATGAGATGCACAATATATTCCTCTGGCAAATAGGCACCGTCATCCCTATTCAAAGCATGATTACTCATATTTATATGCCACGCTTCTAGGCAAAGTCTTTGAGCATAACGATTGTTTGTGGTAATTACTTTAGGACCTTTAGAGTTTTCCCACGCAATCTTGTGTTTGGTGTAACATGTTCGGCTAAAGCTGATTTTCCCTTGTCTAAAGTTGAAACAGCCTTTTGATGTTCTTTTAGCCGTCACCAAACTGGCGTTTAGACTGACCCAAATACTCTTAATTCTCGCAGTCACCGCATGGTATAGAATATACAGCATGAGTTTTCTGATTTGTTTTAACAGGATCTTTTGGCTTTGGATCACCCTTGATGAAGACACTAGACTGGAGTATCGAAACGTTGTGTGTCTTGATTACAATTCGACTGGGCTTTGTAATCATTTATTTAAACCAGAGTAGCGAGCGAAACATGACTTTTAAAAATAGTTAAGCTGGCGAACTTTTCAGGAGAGGCTATTTTTCCAACATTATTCCAAGTTTTAACTATTCGGTTAAAGAACGATCCTTGGAAAGTGGATGTTCTGTAGTAAGGAGATTCAGTAATAACATGAGAGATGGATTCTGAGTGCGAGTTCCATTATGATGTATAAATGATATAAAATGCCGTTCAAGTCAGTGTGGCCGAAATTACATTTATCGATTATAAGTTAGTGGCAATAAATTGATTTTATGTATGCTATTGGGCTGTTTTGAACTTTTAAATTACCCGCTACGACCCGATGGAGTACATTTTCAAGATATCTATTCACCAGACTTTTTGAAGTGTTAAGCCTATATTTAAATTCATAATCACGTTTGGTTTTAATTGAGATAATTCAGTTCGATAATTCTGTCTTTGTCCACACAATTTTCCGACTCGTTCATGGGCAGAATCTCAGATATCTGTACGCTCAGCGTACCTACTTTTAAATGCGATACCATCTCTCCAGCTCTACGTTGGGATCAGAGAGTCGGAGTCGCTCACTCCAGTTAATATTTTAAGCTCAAAGCTCAGGATATCGCAAGAAAGACTGGATCCGAAGTAAGGACAGCGCATGCGCTTGCGGCGACGTGGCCAAAAATTTTGGAAAAGTGAAGCATTTCAAATCACAAATGTTCATTTTTTGATCGGAAAAACCAACGAAAATTTTAAACTGAGAGTTGTATTATTTGGAAGTACATCGTTTCTGCTTGGTTGTGGCGTTTTCGATCGCCCGTGGCTTCGCAAAATGCTGACGAAATTCGAAACGAAGTCCGCTCGTGTGAAAGGTATGGTCGAGAGAGGCCAATGCTAAAATGGTCAATTGTTTGGTGTAGTTTTTGATAGTTCTATAATATACGATTGCTTTATTATTTGGACGGCTGCAGAAGACTCTTCAAGCATAGAAAGGTTTTGAAAATACGTACAAAAATAAAGCAATTTGTGTAAAAACATTGCAGTGTAACAAATTATAGAAATAATTTGTATAAACCGACAATGGAAATTTTACACTTTACCGTACCGGAGTAATCACTGAACACATCAAAACACTCCAATAAAAAATTGAAACACCGTCAGAACACACGCCATCAAATACTTGCGGTATGGTAAAGTGTAAAGTACCCCAGACAATAAACATTGTCTGCCAGGTTGGAATCCGTGAAAATTTTATGCCGGCGGTTATGCCAATAAGCCACTGACTGCTCACACCAGTATGCCAGTCATATATGCCAGACAAGAAAGTTATAAAGTTTTTGCATGTTGGAGGTTTCACACAAGGCTAAATTAATTGACTATACAGTTGATACACTGACATGTATTTCAAATATCAATATTTTAATATTCAAAAATCTTCACAATATGACACAAAAACATAGAACATTTTACGCCGGAGATATGCTGCGTAACACCCACGGATTCCAACCTGGAATTTGTCTGTTGTCCACAGGACAAATTACCCAGGCTGGCTAGCCTAAGCGGGCTGAGTGTTATTGCTCTGTTCACCGACCAACCGATTTCGATCTTAAAAGCTCTCTGTGAACAATTCTGTGGGGCGAATTTCAGATTCATGAAAAAATATATTCATATTATGCAATTTACGTCTCATGATGTAAAAATGGGATGAGATCAGCTCGGCAAAGCGAGCTAGCTCAGACCCTTAGGTTGGACATAATACAAGTCATTTCCCCCCAAGTTGATTTGCCCCAAGTCATTCGATATCAAAGTTGTTTCGCCCCCAATTCATTAGATGTCAAACTTTGTTTTGGTTTTACAGATTGCTACATATTGCTGTCGCTACTCGCTTATCGTTGCCAAAACAACTTGTATTAGCAATAGAATAACTAGAACTTGTATTAGATTTATAATAAAATATTTACTAAAATTAAAGTATTTCAGTTTTTAGAGTACCAGTATAGAAAATGTTGGATTGAAACACTTATTATAATAACTTGTTCTTGCATGCATTTTTATATATTTTGAAAAAAAATGTTTATCGCCTTATCAGAGAAGTTTTGGGGGGCAAAACAACTTTGACATCTAATGAATTGGGGGCAAAACGACCAGGTACTGGTTGGAGAGAATGCCCGGTGGTTTCAGGGTTCGAAATAACAGTTTGTGATTCGTGAATCACGAATCAATTTTCATTTTTCACAAACTCAATTTCATAAAAATTGATCAAAATCACGAATCAAAAGTCTCTCAAATTGATAAAAATATACAATAATAAATTCAGTTCTTTGTAAATGTGATGAAGGATCATATATTTTGAACATATTGTTGTTAGATTGTACTTTAAAACGTTAAAACGATTATAATTCCACCCAAAATTCTATTTCTTTGCGAGTTTGCGACATGGTTTTTTGCGATCTTTATATTTCAAAATTGCAGTGCTTCCACTTTTTACTTCCAATTAGTGAAAATTCCTTGAAAATTCCTTAAAATTTCCTTAAAATAAAAAATAATTCACGCGCCATTTTTTCAGAATTAATTCGAACCCTGGGTTTCTGCTCTAGGTCGGACAGTTTTACCCAATCTACACAAAATGCAAAAACTGGATGAAGCGAGGTTAATGGGTTTATTTTGTATGTTTAGGAATAACCTTTCATCCAAACCGTCCTTGGATTCTTGCCAGTCTTCATAATGGTGTTATCCAGCTTTGGGATTATCGCATGTGCACGCTGCTTGACCGTTTTGACGAACACGATGGTAAGTGGCTTAGTGGAATACTTGTTGCAGTCTGATTACAGGGCTAAAAAATATAATGGCCACCCAACGGACAATGGCCCATCTAAAATGCCTGTTGACCGGTCACTTTTTTATCTCGGCAGTCATTTTCAAGCCTTCCCACTAGAATTATAGAAATTGTTTGTTCTCCTCAGCATATCTGCTGAAATATTGTCAGAGAAAGACTGTATATTTCATGGCGAGTACGCAATTACACAGCAAGAACGTCTATTTACATACTGTACAACAAAAACATTGTTTGTTCTTGAACAAAACGTAACTAATTACTGTATATGCTGGTTCAACTTGAAAGGTTTCGATTTTGTTTTAAGCGTTGCAATTAGGTTGTTTATTCAACAAAATTTTATTTACTTACGACAATCCCTAATACGATAGAGATTTTGTGTTGTGCAATTTATTGATAATTTGCTTGGCTCATGCATCAACAGTTAAGTTTTGTTTGTGTGGTCAACCTATATGATAAAGACTTCCCCCGAAATCATTATGGTAATGATTATTAACGTTGCCTATTCACCTTTATGCAATGTGATTGCCAACGTCTTGAGCGTTTAAAATGTGAAACAATAAGAGCAACGTCTTGAAACAAATTTACATTATTTGTTACACTGTCAGTATATGCATATTAGTGACCAGTCAAAAACAGGTTTTGACCGAGCTAAAATCAAGTCGACCTGAGACTAATCGGCCGTTATGTTGAGCTCGGCCTGATTAACCCAATGAGCAGCAGTTCTCCTTTCTCAGGAAAACCAGGGTCTGAAATTTGCAGTGAATGACTTGTCAGGGTTTAAAATAGCTGCCGGATGTCATCGGCATTTTCGCAGCGCTAGCTGGCAACATCTAAATTAGGGAGCAGTCATGATTAATGCCAGGGGGGGGGGAAGATATTTCTAAACTCATGGTAAATTTTTCATGGCCCCTCATTCCTTCAAAATATTTTTTCATGGCCCCCCCCTTTAAATATAATAAATTTTCATAGCCCCCCCCCCGTGATTGAACTTGCATTCCAAACATAATTATACTAAGATCACAGGTGGCCCAATCTCGCAAGCGACGTCTTGGGCTACCTGTGGTGCTTGATTTTCGATAACTGGGGGGAGCGGGAAATCAAAACAACAAGTCCAATATGGCGGGGAAATTTATCTTTATCTTGTATAAAAACCACATGGACGAATTCAATTGAACTAAATTTTTGCACAAGAATGAGTTTAAAAAACATAGTATGACAAAAAGAGCCTGTGGAGAATACCTGGAAACAGTTTTAAGAAATAATCTCGACGAGATGCAGCGAAACGTGACTATGTAAGTCTGTATAAATACAATTTATAAAGATTTTCTTAATAATTTCATATGTTATTTGAGTTTGAATCATTTGTCCATATAGTTTAAATTATGTGCCTTTATGAGTTTATGATCATTTCCCAAGTTTTTTATGCCAAATTGCTTACAAAAGAATTAAAAACTCTTGACAAAATGAAGTTGAATTTTATTGAATTTCATCATGCTATGCATAAAATAAATAATCACTCGGGCAAGTCGTGCAATTAACACTGGCAATTAATTAACAGCTTGTGCAATTTTGGCACATTTTTCAAATATCACTCGTAGTGTTAATATAATTAATTGCACTCCTTCCTGTGTGATTACCTATACTTATATTGCATTGACATTTATATTACAGTGAACTATAATGCTAATGTTTCATGATTATTGTACATTAGTATAATTACATAGGTGATTATTGAAAATTCTCCACGCTGATTGGTTACCGTTGAGGTGATTATTACGTGATAATCACATAAGCAATTTTCAAAATGGCGGCCGAAGCCGTTTTGTCAATTGAAAGACGAAGAAATGTGCATTTTAAAATTTTTTTTCAAATAATCACCTATGAAATTATCCTGAAACAATTATTCACCTCAGGCTCGGTGATTATTGTGAATAAAAACATCGACTTCATCTCGGATTTTATTCACCGATAATCACCTCGCCTTTGGCGAATAATTGTTAATTATTTTTGGTGGCCCCCCCATACTTTTCTTTGATATTTTTGGTGGCCCCCCCCAAATATCTTCCGCCCCCCCCCCGGCATTAATAATGACTGCTCCCTTAGCAACGGGATTTTTATCTTAATTAATTGATCTATACAATGGATTTATAGGTTTTAAACGACATTGGCAATAAAAAATTAGTTTAGTCCATTTGAAAGAACTCTGAAAACTATATATTAAACTCTATTACAGATTTCTTGCTTAGTTTTCAAAATATTTCGACTGAAAAAAGTGAGCTGTTCTCCATCTCAGATTATTGAGGATATGCATGTTACGTCAAGAGAGGGGTCGCGCTAATTTTTATCTTGAGAGTAAGCGATCAATATGCATCCAAAACTTTGTTTCTGGTTGCTGTCTGAAATTTAGATATGATTAAAAACAATTCAAACAATTTTGGATTGTTACTCGGTCATTTTAGAGTAGTTTTATATGGTTAACCCAACTCCTGACGTCATCAAAACCATAGTTAATGAGGTCAAGGATTAGTCCAAGATGACGGACAGCTCATTGATATGACAAATCGGTAATGGAGTTTAATACGGTATATAATTTTAAGAGTTCTTTTGAATGATACAAACTAATTTTTTATTGGCAATGTCCTTTAAATGAAAAAGATGCTGTCTTGACAAAAAGATCGCATTAAGTATGTATTTTGCTACAGCTTTTGTACATGGTGGTATTTCCTGCGTGATCAATGGGTCTGCCCTCAAGAAATAATTGGCCTTTGATTTGAACTTGGTGGTTTAGTTGGTGACTGCGAGTTCTGAGACTATTAAAGAGCTTCATTGACTTCAGTAGCAGGCTCTATTTCGAGCATTGGACAACTGGCAAGCATTATCTCCATACCAGCTCATAGTCTGGTACAATTTGCAAACTTCATGGTCTTATTTCCAGGGACTTTCATTCTCTGTAAATATAAACAGTTTGCTAAATAAAAGTCCAATATAACTACCCATTCTGACAATCTAATGTGTCACGAGTGGTCTTGCTATCTGGAACATACTTAGCCCTGACTATTTTATCTTTACAACAAATGGGGTTTTACTTTCTTAACTATGTTTATCCTAACCCCCACCTGTCAACTTTCCCCGTGGGAGGAAACCAAAGCACCCGGAGAAAACCCACATATAGTAGGTGCAAAACTATTGGGATATTCAAAGCTATCAGAGACATTTAGCATTATACAGTACATGGCCAGAAATTAGGACTGTTCGGTATACCGATATACTGAAAATATCGGTATTAAATCAATATCGGTATATCGATACCGGATATTCAGCCATACCGATATACCGAAATTTCCGATATACCGGAATTTTTCGGTATACCGTGTTACATTTACCAACTATATGGCAAAACCTTTATTTTACTACTGAATGGCAATTCAAAGAACTTTCTACTGAAATGATTTACTAGTTATCGTTTTCCCTTTTATAGAATTACTCAAATTTCCCTTCAAATTTCCATTAAAGAATTTATAATTATTTCCTTAAAATCAAAGGAAAACCGATATACCGATAATATCGGTATAATTTTTTTGGTATACCGATACCGGAAATTTCTCATACCGAACATTCCTACCAGAAATCGCAGACAATGATTATTTTATGTTTGCAATGTTACTCTGAGTGCATATCCACACCGGGCGAGCTTGAAAAATATGCCCGGCCACGGTGGGATTCGAACCTACGACCTTTGGAATACTAGCCCGTTGGAATACTAACACAGAAAAAAATGATTATTTTATTTACTTTATCGAAGTATAACCCGTTGAAATATGGCTTCTGCATGCAGTAAGTAGTAAATTATATCAAGTCTGGTTTCCATATGGTCGTAACGGTTGTAAAGATTGAGTCACGATCTTTCTCATCAGCCGAAATGCAACATTTTAGAACTGAAAATACGCGGAGTGATTATAACTAGGGAATACTTATGATTTATATGTGGTTTACAGGTATAAACTATTATAAACTAACCTCGGTACAAATATAGCCTGCGAACAGCTTGAGAGCCTGTTCGCAGGCTAGTACAAATATTGAAAATGCAGAATAGGTATCGACATACTTTGTTTTGCAACCAGTGATCGAGGCAAGTTGCAAACGACCTACTTTATTCTCAAATTTCACAATTAACAACGTCGCGTTATATAATTCACTGCTTACAGTTGAAGCCATATTTCAACGTGATATATGCAAATTACGAGATAAGTAGAGTAACGATTTTCGTTGTTTCTGGCCATGTCCTATATTGATTGAGATTTTGTAATACCGGATCCAGATACAATTTTATTTTGTAATATCAAGATATACAATGGACGTATTCCCTAATGAACAAAATGTTGATCTAGACAAGTCTAGACAAAAATTATCATGGCTTGAAAGAGCATCACAAAATTAGTAATATTCCGAAGTTTCGTTGCGAAATGTTGTAAAATGCGGATAATATAGCCTTGTGAAGTTTGCCGTTTTTCAGTCATTTTGTATTACGCACGGGAAATTGATACCACTTTAATTTCTGAAAAAAGGTATCAATTTCCCGTGCGTAATACAAAATGACTGAAAAACGGCAAACTTTGCAGGGCTATAATATTATCCGCATTTTACAACATTTCGCAACGAAACTTCGGAATATTAATTTTACTAATTTTGTGATGCTCTTTCAAGCCATGATAAAATTTTTGTCTAGACTTGTCTAGATCAAAATTTTGTTCATTAGGGAATAGGTCCATTCATTTACAGTTTGACATCCAAAACCAAATTTTGCTTATTTTGGTAGAATATTGTTTATCAGAATATCGGTCAATTTCGGTACATCACTAACCATAGATTATATTCTTTAAAAGGTCCAGTTCGCGGCATCGATTTCCACACGAACCAGCCTTTGTTTGTGTCCGGAGGTGACGATTATAAAATAAAGGTTTGGAATTACAAGCAGAAGAAATGTTTGTTCACATTGCTCGGCCATTTGGACTACATAAGGACGACGTTTTTCCATCATGTAAGTAATCTTTTGTTATAGGGTGGAAAAATCCAGGGTTTATTTAAGTCCATTCTGCGCATACGTTCTGCGCAGCCAATGGTTGGGACCCGACCATTGGAAACACTGCGGAAAAACGTCTGCGCATGCACCAAATTATGAAAATATGGCGGGGAATTTGAATATCAATTTCTAAAACAAAAACATGTTTATTAATTGGTCAAAAATTAGTAAACCAAACGAGAAAATATAGCAAATGGGTAGACTAGACATTAATTGAAAGCGTCCTGGCATTTAAAGTATGGAATGAAATATAATTCATGTAAAAAATTGTTGATTTTAATGGACATGACTTCGAAAATTTTTGCAAAATTATTGAAAACAAAAATTCAAACTAAAAAGTTAAGAAAACTCTCGAAAAGTTAAGCTTCTTAACCCACTCAAATTGTACAATAAATCCTAAAGTTTAATTATTGTGAACACGAAAATTTTTTATATTTGGCGACACAGTTTTTTTTAAAGAAATGTATCTCAAACGAAAATTCGGAAATTGTCGTTGCTTAGTTGATAAACAAAATGTTTCAGACGATAAATTTGTCAACAATCACCTTAGTTCATGTTCTTGTACAATACAATTTCTTGAACCTTCTGGCTGTATTTATTCCTAGTTTTTAGAATGACATGTTTATTTTTGCGCTCGAAATCTGACTGTAAAGACGCACAATGAAGTCACTCCTTTTTACCGCCATTTTGAGCCTTCGGGAACGTTCGGAACAGCTTTTCATCAAGTTCGCAATACTACGGTGTGTATCAAAATAATTCGAATCCAAATTTGGCATGTAATAACGCAGAATATATTTGACAAATTCGGTTGGTTTTTACACCATTGTTAAGTTCATTTATTTATCTTTCAAATGACATGCTGTACGCGTCATTTAGTTGGAAAATGAAGGAGTATTGCTTTGACAAAAAAAGTCCATAAAAATCACAATTTTCCGCCGATGGGAATTGGACATTTTTTCTTTCAAAGTTAGTCCCACAAGGCTTTGAAATGCTAATCATCACTGAAAACTAAAATGCAAATTTAACGCGAATTTCTTCTCGTTCAACATGTTGAAAGCATAGGCTGTCTGGAGCTTAAATCTCTTTAAATGAACATGAATTTATGTAAATTTTGCTACATAACAGTTTGTTGATTAATTAAATTTGTACTATCTTTTGTTTGTACGTCTCACTTCGAATTCCCATCGGCGGAAAAATTTGATTTCGAGCAACCAGTTTTAACACACGATTTCTTGGTCATTTTTTATCTTATTGATATAAGAACGATATAATCGGAAACCTAATAGGCTATTCTTTATTGCCATATAAAAATTATATGGTTTACTTTAGTATTTTATAAACAGCAGTCTGTCAAATTTGGATTCGAATTATTTTGATACACTCTGTATTACAGGTAAGGTTGACGCATGCGCAGACGTTTTTCCGCGGTGTTACCATTGGAATGTTATTAATATTTCGCACCTTCCGAACTTTCTTGAATTGAATCTCTAGTCTGCATTCATTTACCAGCATAGCGAACCAGAAGAGTGTTAAAAATTCAGTATAATATATATCCAATCATATTTTACAACTGTAGCACTGAGTTCAAAATGTAAACAAAGCGTTTGTTTACATTGCCGACTTTACATCATCTTTAAAGAACATTGGCATAGTTTGTCTCATTCAAAAGAACTCTTAAAGTTATATATTAAACTCCATTACTGATTTGTCTTACCCGAGACCATATAAACAGGCCTTAAAATATCTTTTCCAGGGCTGTCTGTCAAAATATCCGGTGAGGTTGAGTTTGGGTCAGACATATGTCCGATGACCTTCAGTCCAGTTTTGACTCGGAAATAAGTCTGAATGACACAAATGAATAAACGATAAATGTTGTAAAGACATTAAATAATTTGTTTCTTTCATACTTATTTCCAAGCCAAGATTAACTTGCTTGCCAGAACAGCAGTATTAAAAAAGACTTCGACAACTTAAGCCCGTTTTCCACTTCACCATTTCGCTCGCCGCCGCGCGCTTGACTACGTTTAAACAACATTTCCACTTAACCTTTTATACAATAGTACTCTGATTTTCCATTTAACATACAAGCCTCTAGTCCTGGACTAGGGTACATTTTGATTTACGTTGGACAAAGCTACAGTTCGGTCGGACACCAATACACTTGGCTCGGACAAACAATAAACCTCAGTTTCACTTTGGTCGGACAGAATGTCCGGTGGTTTCCTCTCTACGTTGGACAATTTCACGAATGGGTCGGACAATGTCCGTGACCGACCGATATTTTAAGGCCTGATAAACAGCGCCTTAGAGAAGCACTTAATGAGGTGTCCGCCGTCTTGGACTAATTCTTGACCTCATTAACTATGGTTTTGATGACGTCAGGAGTTGGGTTAACCATATAAAACTACTCTAAAATGACCGAGCAACAATCCAAAATTGTTTGAAATGTTTTTAATCATTTCTAAATTTCAGACAGAAACGAAGTTTTGGACCCATATTGATCGCTTACTCTCAAGATAAAAAATTAGCGTGACCCCTCTCTTGACGTAGAACCGATAGAGCTATCCAGTATTAGAATATGAAAACAAGAAATCCAAACAAACTACTTGAAAGTTGAATTAAAATAACTACAGTATGATTATAAATTAATGTTGAGTTATTGAGTGAATACATTTTGTTAGGAATATCCTTGGATTGTGAGTTCGTCTGACGATCAGACAATAAGAATTTGGAACTGGCAATCGCGAACATGCATTTGGTAAGTTCTAAAACTGTATTATAACAAGGGCTCGAAATAGCGGGCTGCCAATGGCCAAAAGCAGGCCATATTTTAGAAATGGCAGGCAAAAAAAAAATTGAATTTGCCAAGGTAAAAAAAAAATGGCAGGTGATTCTATAGATATATTGTTTGTCGATTGGCGCAAAACTGTTGCATTAAAATATAAGCGTCACGACACGTGTTTAGCCTCTCGCAACTGTCGTGGAGATAGAACTGGAGTCTATCACGACGACACTGTTGTAACTATCGTGAACTGTTGCCAGCGTGTCGCGACAAGACTTTTCTTCATGTTTCCATTTGGTCGCGAACACTACTCTGGCGACACTTACAACCATAGATATCTTATATACACTAGATAGCGCATCTCTTTTAGTAAAATTGAAGCCAAGACTATTCCAGCGGTTACCCCCATTTGAATAGATGGCGGCCATGTTGGTCGTTCCCACTCGCTAATAAACGCTTAGAAACAACAATAACTTTCATCATTTGAATAGTTTAAAAACGTATTTGGAATAGGGTAACTTAATGTTTAAGTTCCCTGTTTAAGAAATAGAAAACATACGAATCTTCTCATTTTATGGGAACGACTTGAGACTGCAATCACGGCTTCAATTTTTGAATTTCAGAATAATTAGATGCACTATCTAGTGTATATAAGATATCTATGCTTACAACACGTTCGCGACAGTTACGACCATATCGAAACCAGGCTTAAAGGGTCAGCCTGTATAATGAAACGGTTATTGAATGGATGATTCTGGCCAGCTATGGACTAAATTTTGATCCATGCAAGAAGAACAAAATCCATCATCACAGCTAGAAAGAGCATGTTAAAATTAGTAAAATTGCAAAATTTGGTTGCGAAGTGTTGTAAAGTGACAGCCTCGTACCCAGGCGCTATGTGTTGTTCTGGGCTTGCGCGGCCTTTGCGTGGGCCGCGTGGATTAATTTGATCGATTTCATGGTGAGGCGCCTGGCAGAATCCGTTTCGGTTTCTGGAGCGGATTGCGATTTCTGGAGCGGACTCAATAAATTGGATTTTTAGAGGTTTGAAATACCACTTTTCATTGAAAACTATATGACATTGATGAATCTTTCAAAAGAGAATAACTGTTGAATGTAAATTTGTGCGAATATCGTGCTTATTTAAACTACACAAAGTCGGGTATATTAAAATATTATATAATTATATCAAACAGCCTAGTGTAAATTCGTTTTCGAGTGAATCTACGTAGCCTTCGTTGTTTCAGTCGCTTTATGGATTGAATATGTCACAGAAATTTCATTGCAATATGATGAAAGGCATCAGAATACCGATCTCAAGAGGCTCAAACTCTCAAAGAACGCGGCGGCCTATAGGCGGCGGCAAACAGTTTATATTTGTAAACAGTCACAACAATAGATATTCGTGTCGTCCTGTAGAGTGTACAGGGTGTATCAAAATAAACGCAATTCATCTTTTGTGCTTAATAACTTTCGAAATACTATTTCTAGTTAAACGCTTTTAGGATTACTTCAAAGCCCGTTCTTTTCTCTTTCAAACAAACTATTATCCTTGTCTCCAATGCTAGTAATAATTGCACAGGAAAAGATTTAGTAAAACCTATCATTTTTAGTTGCTGTTTAATTATGCAAGTTTACTATGTTATTGTTTAGTCG